CATGCCAGGCTAATTTTTTTCTATATATATTAGTTGGCCAATTAATTTCTTTCTATTTATAGTAGAGACAGGGTCTCGCTCTTGCTCAGTCTAGTTTCGAACTCCTGACCTCGAGCAATCCGCCCACCTTGGCCTCCCAGAGTGCTAGGATTACAGGCGTGAGCCACCGCGCCCGGCTGATTTATTTAACCAATCTTTTATTGTTAGAATTTTGTTTTATATTTTTTTTTTGTTTTTTTTTTCATCATGAGTTGTAGCAAGTAATTGTTAGAATTTTGGATTGTTTCCAGTCTTGTTAACTTTAACTACTGTAGTGAACATGTTGGTACATGTATCTTTGTCAGAGGTTGAAAAATTAGGAGCCCATGGCTATATCTGGATCTGAGACTTATTTTGGAGGGATCCTTCTCTATTAAATATGATACATTTTCAATAAAGATTTAGATTTCAAGCTGGAAACTCTAGCAAGAGTGCGGCCACATTCATGAAGGCAGAAATTCTGGCTCTTAGTAGTGATCAATCCTTGTAGATGGGTCCCATACTCTAGTCTTCCCATAGTCCTTTCAACTCCCGTTGTCTTTCTGTAAGCCAGATTACATTACTGTTTGGCTCCTGAGAGCACTGGGTTTGTGTTCCTGTTTTGTGCATCAGTATACATCTCCAATGATGGTGGTTCCCAAATGTTTTTGTCTTATGTCTTCACCACCTTGTGTTCACAAGAACATCTGGGATTCTGCTGTTCTTTTCTTACTGGGAACTGAGGATAGCAAGCTTTTCACTCAAATGAGAAAGGGAAAGGATAGGAAACCCATAAGATCTAAAAATACAAGTTGACATTTTAGCTTAGGGGACTGGGAGTAATGGGATGAGTCTATCTAGTTTGCTGCCTTTTTGGAATCATCTCCCAGTATTAGGTTGCTTTGTGGCCCTAGATGAGTTCACTGGCTTGACTAGCTTGGTTCCCCTTCTATGGAGAATTTATTGAGTCATAAAATTATCAAGTATTGCTATTAGATGCTTCTCATCTTTCTCTTTCAAGGCTGGCTGCAACTATTGGCCAGCTCCAGTGCAGCCATTTGATCCTTGTTTTGCCCGTTACGTTAGAGATGATTTCATGGATAGCTACTTACTTTCACCCCAGCTTTCAGAGCCCCAGAAGTATAAATGACGCAACTGCAAAATCTTAAGTTATGATCTTCAGCCCTGGCCTCACAATAAGCCCACTCCTTAATTTGCCTTTTTCTGGGTGTCCTAACATTTTCCTACTTAACCTTCCTCTCTTTCATTATTTGTTCTGCCAAATGACAGAGTGCTTTCTATTTCACATTTGTTCCAAAGCCCATTTGGGGGGTAAGAAGAAAAGTATTGGAGTCCTCAAACTTTAATTTCCACTTCAGGAAGCTATCCCTCATCAGATGACTTTACCAATTTGGGGCTGCCCAGTAAAGTTTGACTGATACTAATGCTAGAACAAATACCCAAAGGACTTGAACATGATTCAATAATAACCCAGTATTTGCTGTTTTTTTTTTTTTTTTTGAGACAGAGTCTCACTTTGTTGCCCAGGCTAGAGTGAGTGCCGTGGCGTCAGCCTAGCTCATAGCAACCTCAAACTCCTGGGCTCAAGCAATCCTGCTGCCTCAGCCTCCCAAGTAGCTGGGACTACAGGCATGTGCCACCATGCCCAGCTAATTTTTTCTATATATTTTTAGTTGGTCAATTAATTTATTTCTATTTTTGGTAGAGACGGGGTCTCGCTCAGGCTGATTTCGAACTCCTGACCTTGAGCAATCCGCCCGCCTCGGCCTCCCAAAGTGCTAGGATTACAGGCGTGAGCCACCACGCCCGGCCCATGCTGTCTTTTTAAATTTCTTTCTCCTTATTGTGTTTTACTCCCTGAGTGCCTCTCTAGTATCTGCCTCAACAGATACAAAGTTGAGAAAATAGTTTAATGAACTACTGTGTTCCCATCATCTAGCTTTAGTAATTACTAGTTATTTGCCAATCTTGTTCCATTCCACATATTTTTTCCAATTTTTTTTTTTTTGAGACACAGTAGCTGGAACTACAGGCATGTGCCACCATGCCTGGCTAATTTTTTTTCTATGTATGTTTTTAGTTGGCCAACTAATTTCTTTTCTTTTTTTTGAGACAGAGTCTCTGTTGCCAGGGCTAGAGTGCCATGGCTTCAGCCTAGCTCACAGCAACCTCAAACTCCTGGGCTCAAGCAACCTTCTGCTTCAGCCTCCCAAAGAACTAGGGCTACAGGCATGTGCCACCATGCCCAGCTAATTTTTTCTATATATTTTTAGTTGGCCAATTAATTTCTTTCTCTTTTTAGTAGAGACGGAGTCTCACTCTTGCTCAGGCTGGTTTCAAACTCCTGACCTTGACCGATCCATCCTCCTGCCTGGCCTCCCAGAATGCTAGGATTAAAGGCATGAGCCACTTCGCCAGGTCTTTTTCCAATTTTTGTTATGAAAAAATTTTAAAGTTTAAAGAGCAGTATCATGATCATCCATAAACTTACCATCTACACTCAGTATGGTGAGTTGTTAACATTTTGCCATAATTGCTTTCTCAATATACCTGTATGAACCATATGAAAGTCTGTTGCATACATCCGTACATCACGACCCCTCCCTCCTTTTTTTTTTTTTTTTTTTTTTAAAGATGGGGTCTCTGCTTTGCTGCCCAGGCTGGAGTACAGTAACATAATCATAGCTCACTGCAGCCTCAAATTCCTGGGCTCAGGAGATTCTACTGCCTCAACCTCCTGAGTAGCTAGGACTACAGGCACAAGCCACAGTGCCTGGCTAATTTATAAATTTTCTCAGAGATGGGCTCTCACCATGTTTCCCAGGCTGGTCTCAAACTCTTGTCCTCAAGTGATTCTCCCACCGTGGCCTTGTATCATTCAGTTAATGTTTGAATTTTCTCAATTGCCCTTAGAATATCTTGTATAGCTATTTTTTTTTAAGCCAGGGGCTAACCAAGAACCACACATTATATTTGGTTGTTTTTGCCTTCTTAATTTTTTTCTTCCTCCTCCCTCTTCTCCTTTTTTTTTTTATATTCCATTGTCATTTTGAAGAGAGGAGGCTGGAATGTCCCACATGTTGGATGTGAAGAATATCTCCTTGTATTGTGTTGGTGTTTAACTTGTTCCTTTATCCTTTGTAAATTTCCTATGATTTACAAATTAGAGCTAATGGGTTGATTAGATTAAGATTAAGCATTTGGGCAGGAATACTTTATAGATGATGCAGTGTACTTACTGCATTTTATCAAGGACCACACAATGTCAAAGTTGTCTTATGAGTGATGCAATGTTTGATCACTTACATACTTGGGTCAGGTGGCGATTGCCAAATCTCTCTATTCGATGTTACTTTTTTTTTTTTAAGCTGCATGATTTGCAAATAATCTGTGTGGTGATATTTGGTACCATGATAATAATCTGTTCCCTGACAATCTCTCTTAAAATTCTCTTAATTCACTTGAAATAATGAATCAGTTATTTCATTCTGGGTTGCAGAATGGTGATTTTCTAACTCTTTCATTCATTCTACATTAGATGGAACTCTAAAAAAGAGTTTTCCCTTAGCGATTATGGATGAACTATAGTTTTTCCTAAAAAAGAAGGTGAATGCTTAATTCTTTCCTTTTAATTACCAATTTCCAGAGTAAGGAGTTGTGAAATATTCACCTCCAACTTGGCAAATTAGTCTTTCCCCCCCTTTTTTTTTAGTATCACTATAGACCACTGGGTTTTCTTCATCCCTTCTCTTCTCCCCACCCATCCCTTTTTCCTTCTCTCCACTTCTTGATCCATGGCGACTGCCACCGTTCTCCGCACTTAACGCCTGAGCTTTCCAGCTGGTCCGCTAGGGGCCACTGGTTTGCTCCCCATCCCCACGCTGTCTCTCTATCATACCGTTCATCGTTTGCTAGCAGCCATTGTCTCTCTGGTGCTGACTGTGTCCAAGGAGCCGCTCTAGGCTGATGGGAGGCCGTCCGTATTGCGTGGGGAAGGCTTGGACAACGCAGTCGCCTCGCAGGCCCCCGGGGCGGTTAGCGCTTCCGGGGTCGAAGGGTGCGCGGGGTTGAAAGCGGGCCGCTCCGCCCCGTCCCCCTCCCAGACCAGCAGAGGCAGCAGCCGGAGCAGCCGCAGCCTGCGCCCTCTCCCGCCCGCCGGCCGCCGCTCCGCCGCCTCCACCCGCCCGGGTCTCTTTCCCCTTCTTCCTCCTCCTCCCACCCCCTTCCTCCTCGCCCGCCCGCGGGCCCCTCGCCTTCCCGCGCCCTATTGTTCCGCCCCCGGCCTCCCGCCCTTCCCATTCCCGCCCGCTCCCCTTTTCCCCTCAGTCGCCTCGCGCCTGCAGGTAAGCTTAAAAATTTCCCCTCCGCCCCTGGCTATAGTTACTATTTCCACTCTTGCCATCTTTCTTAGCGGGCTCCGGTCCTAGTCACGAGCCCCGGCCTCGCGTAGTCCCTCGTGAGCGCGTATCACCTCACTCTGCTTGGCCGGCCATTCACGCGAGGCCCTGGCTCCGGCGCGGCCTAGTAGGCCTCGCGCAAGGCCTACCCCCCTCCCCCCGCCTTTTCCCGGTGGCGGCTGCGCAGGAGTCAAGGAGGGCGCGCGCGCGGTAGGGGGGGCGGCGGTGGATTTGTTGGTTGAGGGGGGTGGGGAGAGGCGATGGCCGGCTTGCTGGCCGGGTTGGTGAGCGCGGCTCCCCGCGGGGGTCAGGCGCTGGCGCAGCCACACGAGGAGGCGCTAGTAGTCCGGCCCCTCCCCCTGCATCGCAGCGCCCCCCCCCGACCAAACCGTTTATTTTTTTTCCCCTCTTTTCTAGTCGAGGGAAGGGGGGGCTCTTTTTTTTTCTCAAGTGGAAAATGCTTGGATGACCGAGGGGAGGGGGGCTGTGGAGTGAAAGAAAGGGTAGACGGGCTCCCAGTTACCGAGTTATTCAGGACGTTCTTTCGGGGTAACGAATTTTGAAATTACAAAATGCCTTCCGATGTAAACCTAGACCGAGCTATTTATAGAGGGGTGTTGGACTGCAGGATTAACAGCTGGATTGCTGGAATGGGGTACACTTATATTGACCTAGTCAGGAGAGAAGTAAAATAGATTTTTTTGGATTACTTACATTGTTTGAAGTTTGAAGTGCATCTTTGCGCTTTACCTCAAGAAAAGGCTTCAAATAGGTTTTAGATTTTCTTCCCTTTTTGAACTTGAATTGTGGCATTTGTAAACAGCTTCCTATTATTTCTGATCAGGGATAAGGAATGAAACTTCCAGATACCTTACCATATTTTATTTTAAAAAAGAAAGTCATTCATACAGGCCTAATGGTCTCCCTCCACCGAGCACTATTTTTCCATAACTGAAAAGTATTGAATTCTGGATTTTGCCAGCAATTAATTGTATTCTGAAAATAGGAAAATGATGTGCTTTGGGGATGCACTTACATAATCTCTTATAATCACTTAAATTCTTGAAGTAGCCAGAGGACAGTTTGCTATATACAGAATGGTGTGGCAGCCACTTAAATACTTAAAATATTTAGTATATGGGCTTGTGTTAGAGCAGAGTTAAAATGGTGACTGGTTTTGTGAAGAGGGAAAAGTAACTGTAGGAGGAGAGATGAATATTAAAATGTCATTAGGTAAAATTAACGGAACCTTTTTAAAGCTAGCAGGATTGGGTGCTGAGGAGGTATTGAAGGCAAAGGCATATCCAAAAACAAATTCTCTTCCTGTAAGTAACTAGTTATTCCAAAGCAGAAATGATAGGTACATTGTTTCATAGGATGAGTGGGGGAAAGGGCCATCCTGGGTAGCAAAGGGACCTACTGCTGTTGCTAAAAACAATTACAGAATAAAATTTTAGCAATGCCAGTTTTTATTGTTTTCTTTGGAAGGAAATTTAAGGTTTAATAAACTTGAGGAAAAATCGAATGGTGTTAAAGGTTCATACACAAAAGCAAGGAAAATTTCTCAAATCTGAGTAATTATCAAGTTGGGTTGAGAGAAGCAATAGGAGAAAAGGACTCGACTGTACTTAATGTATTGAGTCATTTCCCAAAGGGGAATAGTGTACCCCGGCCTGCATGGAAGGCATCTTAGAATAAGGCCTTTTTCAGTGAGGTTGATCTAAGTCTTTTTAAAATTCTTTGTTGTCTATCAACATTTGAAATTTGTAATGTGATATCTCAATTTCTTTAACTAGAAATTGCTACTATTAAGAAAATTTACATGTGTTATCTCTAGCTTTCAACTTGTACTGCTACCCAACAGGGAAGCAAGAAGGTCATTTGCCCTCACTGTAGTTGGTTAGTTTGAGGTTTGCCCTCATGATTTCCAGGTGTTTCTGAATCTTTTTGAAGCTTATTCTGCTGAAGGACAACTGGTGCACGTTCAGCAGTTCCGTTAGAATCATTGCCAATTGAAGGAACCGTCCTCATCCTGAGAGTCAGCGGAAACCCTATCATTAATGAGAGCAAACTGGAAAGTCGCCTTCTATGCTCTGTAACAGAACCTGAGCTGTAAATGTTATGCAGTTGTGCTGGGTGTGTATACAAGCTGATAGGCTATCATTTAAGGAAAAGTGTCAACTACAAAATACTAATAATGGTAAAAATAACTTTGGGCAATAATTCCTCTGTTCTTTTTCTCCTCTGATTTTGGCCATGTCTGCATTTCAGTTTTTGGCTTTCACCCCCACCAGTGACCAAAGACTTGACCACTCAAAGTCCAGCTCCCCAGAACAGTGCTCGACATGGACACCGGTGTGATTGAAGGTGGATTAAATGTCACTCTCACCATCCGGCTACTTATGCATGGAAAGGTATTCACCAGCTTGTGAAATTGGGTCATAGTAACTGTTAGGGGGAGGAGCCAGGGAGAGCAGACATGCATCTTGGAGCTCATCAGATTAGCACTGTGGGGCATCTGGCTTTAGCGCTCTTCTCTAATGGACTAGATGTGAAGGTAGTGGGAAAATGGATAGACTTTATATTAGGAAGCTCCACTGAGCAGGAAAGCCTTCACTAGTGGCTAGAGCCAAAGGCTATATATATCATACCTGAATGGTAAGATTTTTCTCATGGAGGTTGCTATAGCTTCTGATATGTAGATTTCTTCTGCCCCGAAATTTTAGGAAACTATAAAGTGAGAAGATTTATTTGATATTTAAAAAAATAATTTATATTAAACATAGACAAAATTTAATTATGCCTGCATCATTATTCTTTCATAATTCTTTGATAGCTTCACTCAAATTTGAGCAAAGAAAAAAATAAGTTCTCTCCCCTTAGTCAGTAAATCTTAAAAATCTTTCTGTTCTTTTGGGGGGTAGTAATTAGCATAGATAGCAGTTGGTTAGTTGGCCAGTTAGAATTCCTTTTCCTAATAATACTTCTGGGTTTCCTCTTATTGACACTAATTTTCCCCATTACAGGAAGTTGGCAGTATCATTGGAAAGGTAAGAAAATTTTACTTCCAACTCTAATTACTGTTTAGTCATTCTGGGTCTAAATAGCAGTTGGAGCTCATGATTGACTTTTCCTCTTACAGAAAGGAGAATCAGTTAAGAAGATGCGCGAAGAGGTAAGTTATGGGAGACTTTGGGACTATTAATTTGGGAAGCAAAAAAATTGCTAAAAGAAGTAAATTTTGTTTGAGAGGTTGGAGGAAGGTCTCAATAGGGGAAGCTGGTGTTTTTCTGGCTTGGTTATTTATAATGGCATAGTATTCCAGGAAATGTAGTTCTGACATGTCTCAGAATTCATTTGAGACTTAAAGGCAGCTGCTGTAGGCTATGTTAGAAGAGAGACATGAAGCAGTGTTTGAGATAAGACACTGACTTTGCCTTGTATCTGGATTGTGTATGTAGGCAGCTTATTGGCATGTCTTATTTAGGAGGGGTATATAGCCTGTATACTCAGATATTTTTCATCTGTTTAACCTTTCTTGGCTCTGTTTCTTATCCAGAGTGGTGCACGTATCAACATCTCAGAAGGGAATTGTCCTGAGAGAATTATCACTTTGGCTGGACCCACTAATGCCATCTTCAAAGCCTTTGCTATGATCATTGACAAACTGGAAGAGGTTTGTTGTTCCCCTTCCCCCTCCCCCTCTCTTTCTTTTAAGTGCATCCTGATAGCTTGTTCTAAGGGCTTTTGTTTTTCTTTTTTCTTTTTTTTTTTTTTGAGATAGTCTTGTTTCGTTGCCTGGCTGGAGTGTAGTGGCATCATCATAGCTCACTGCAACCTCAAATACTTAGGCTGAAGCGACCCTTCTGCCTCAGCCTTCCAAGTAGCTGCATGCCACCATGCCCGCCTAATTTTTCTGTTTTTTCTGTAGGAGTTCATGCCCTTGCTCAGGCTATTCTTGAACTCCTGGGTTCAAGCAGTCCTCCTGCTTTGGCCTCCCAAAGTACTAGGATTATAGGTGTGAGCCACCACACCCGGTCCTAAGGGTTTTTAAAATTTAGGGGCAGACTGGATCATAAAAATCTGTAAATGGGTCCTTTCCTCCCTGTAGCATGCCCCCAAATTTGGTCATGTATAATTAAAAAGTGAGTCACTTGAATCATTGAAACAAAATACTTTGATGATGCCAGGGATACAGTGTAAATTTTTGTGAAAAGCATTTTTTAAAATTTTTTGACCAACAGTTTTTTTTTTTTTTTTTTTTTGAGACAGAGTCTTGCTTTGTTGCCCAGGCTAGAGTGAGTGCCGTGGCGTCAGCCTCACTCACAGCAACCTCAAACTCCTGGGTTCAAGCCATCCTCCTGCCTCAGCCTCCCGAGTAGCTGGGACTACAGGCATGCGCCACCATGCCCAGCTAATTTTTTGTATATGTATTAGTTGTCCAATTTCTTTCTATTTATAGTAGAGACGGGGTCTCGCTCTTGCTCAGGCTGGTTTTGAACTCCTGACCTTGAGCAATCTGCCCGCCTCGGCCTCCCAGAGTGCTAGGATTACAGGCGTGAGCCACCGCGCCCGGCCTGACCAACAGTTTTGAATGTATGCCATTGCTTTGGTAAACTTGGTTCACCAAACTATAGTACTTTGCCTAACTCAAAGTTGGGTGAATTAAATGTGTTTTGTTTAGGCCCTGCTCATGTTTCATAAATACAGGTAATTTCCAACCTTGGATGCTGTTTAAAAAAAATCAATCTGATAACATTGTGTCAAAAGTTAAATTGGAATCCCAGTACGTCTGTCTGGAAGCCTTTGCCTGAAGATCATTTGAGGCCAGGAGTTCAAGAGCAGCCTGGGCAACATATGGAGACCCCATCTCTTTCTCTTTTTTTTAATACAAAATCAGAAAATTTTATTTTTTAAAAAAAGGGGCCGGCGGCGGTGGCTCACGCCTGTAATCCCAACACTTTGGGAGGCTGAGGCGGCGGATCGCTGGAGGTCAGGAGTTTGAACCACCTGAGCAAGAGTGAGACCCGTCTCTACTTAAATAGAAAGAAATTAATTGCCATCTGATATATATAGAAAAATTAGCGGGCATGGTGGCGGATGCCTGTAGTCCCAGCTACTGGGAGGCTGAAGCAGGAGGATTGCTTGAGCCCAGGAGTTTGAGGTTGTCGTGAACAAGGCTGACCGCACGGCACTCACTCTAGCCTGGGCAATTAAGCGAGACTCTGTCTAAAAAAAAAAAAGGGAAAAAAAGTTTGGTTGGTAGAGACCTAGTTATCAGAAGCAAAATAGCCATATGAAGAGATTTTTGCGCAAGGAGGTTTTTTCCCCCACCAACCTTCAGAGGCTGAACAACCACTGTACTGGTTTCTGTTCAACCCTTTCCCTTTTGAGGTAATACAGCTAGTTGTGCAATTGATACCACAGGCAGAGGAGTGCTGCTTGGTTGGTGGTTTGTACTTAATAGTGCCTGAAATCTTATCCTTGCCAAGATCAGAAATGTATCTTGACCTGCAGGCTTATTATTCCAGAATTTGTGGCTTAAAATTTTAGAAATACTATTTGTTTTTTAGCCAAGTAAGAAACATGTCCTTGACTTTAGGGGGCTTATGCTTAAGGAGTTTCTGGGCTAGCTACTACATGATTAGGGGAGAAGTTGATATTTAAAAACACTTAATCTTCAGAAAGCTAAACCTAATAGGTTAAAACCATGACTTTTGGACAAGCATTTTGTTATGGGATTATGGGGTTTGAGGGCAATACAGTCTGTTTTTTTTTTTTTTTTTTGGGGGGGGGACAGAGTCTCACTCTGTTGCTGGGCTAGAGATTGCCGTGGCGTTAGCCTAGCTCACAGCAACCTCAAACTCCTGGGCTCAAGCAATCCTCCTGCCTCAGCCTCCCGAGTAGCTGGGACTACAGGCACATGCCACCGTGCCTGGCTAATTTTTTCTATTTTTAGTTTAGCTAGTTTTCTCTCTTTTTATAGTAGAGATGGGGTCTTGCCTTTGCTCTTGCTCAGGCTGGTCTCGAACCCCTGAGCTCAAGCAACCTCTCCTGCCTTGGCTTCCCAGAGTGCTAGGTTTACAGGTGTGAGCCATTGCACCTGACCACCAATACAGTCTTTTCATTTCAGATTAACAGCTTTTTTGATGTGATTGGAGTACATTCTCTGAGCTTCAGTTTCTTTCTATTTTCTTGTGGAGAGGGGTGGGAAAGGGGAGACACTCTAGCTTTGTTGCCCAGGCTGGAGTGCAGTGGCATGATTTTGGCTCACTGTAACCTTGAATTACTGGGCTCAAGGCTTCCTCCTGCCTCAGCCTTCAAAATAGCTGGGATTACAGGCATGGGCCACTGCACCCATCCCAGTTTTGTCATTTATTTATACAGTGGTACTATTACTAAAAAATTAAAGCAGTGATACAGAGGATTGTATTTAATTTGTCTAGTTTCTTAACTTTGTAGTGTTTTTAGTTTACGAACAGGGCAGAATTGGTAGTTTAAATTGGGTTGCCTTGTATTTTCTTTCTTTAAGCATTTGATTGATTTTTGACATCAGTATTTTTACCATTGACAAACCAACTATAATTTGCCAAACAATCACTTTTCTCTTTACCACATACACTCCACGGGGTGATGGAAATAATTATGGCCAGCTAATTCTGAGGAGTTTTATAGTTTTTATCTTAAATTGCAAATAGGTTAGGGAGGAGGTTGTGGTATTCTGTTTCTTTGTCAGTGGTGGGTTATGACCTAACTTGCCCTTAAGCTTGAGGGCAGGCGGTTCTTTTATGCCAGTTACTGGTTTCCAGGGATCTTAAATTTCTCCTTCTAGTGTTCTGACTAATTTTTTTTTTTGTAGGACATCAGCAGCTCTATGACCAATAGCACAGCTGCTAGTAGACCCCCGGTCACCCTGAGGCTGGTGGTTCCTGCCAGTCAGTGTGGCTCACTCATTGGAAAAGGTGGTTGCAAGATCAAGGAAATACGAGAGGTTGGTGATTTTCATGCTGCTTTTCAAATGTTAACTGTTTGTTCCTAACGTTAGCTCTCTTTATAGCTAGGAAAAATTAGCACTTGACGAGATGATTACAGTCTGATTGTACTGGAAATAAAAGATAGATTTTTACAATATAATTTATAGATTTTAATCAGAACATGAGGATGTTAACCAGAATTTCCAATTATTGCATGTGGTCAGTTTTCATTTTTTTGAGCAGCTTTGCATAATTTGGCAACTTTTCCATGAGTCTACCTAATTCTTTTTCATACCTGAAGAGATTACATTTTGATATAGTAACAGATATTTTCGTTGACCAAACTTCTAAGGAGCAAGGGGAAAATGGGAAGTATATAGTTGTAATTTTACTTCCTTTTTAATTATGGAAGTTACATTGAATTATGGAAGCTTTTAATTGTACCTGGAGGTTAGTGAATTTGGTGTTGGAATGAAACTAGAAATGGCTCCTCTTTGGCATTTTTGGGAGCCTGTTCTATGTGTCATGTGAGCAGAGATCTTGATTTTGTAAATTGATGTACTGGAAGCATTTGGAATGGAGCCTGGCACATAGAATGAATAGGCTTGATAAAAATACTTGTTCAAGACAACGAACAGTGAGTGATATTTGTGGGGTTTTGATTGCCCCACAACCTGGAATAAGGGAAGAATGGGAAAGGAAACTGAAAGGGTTAAGATAGGAAATGGGATGAATATCCATTGAGCTTTAGAGTCTAAAATTGCTGCTGGGAGGAATTGGAAGAGCATGAGCTGTTTTTTCTGATTTTGAATTTCTTTCTACCCCAAAGAGTACAGGCGCTCAGGTCCAGGTGGCAGGGGATATGCTCCCCAACTCAACTGAGCGGGCCATCACTATTGCTGGCATTCCTCAATCCATCATTGAGTGTGTCAAACAGATCTGCGTGGTCATGTTGGAGGTAAGCCCTCAGGCTCATGCTGAAAATGGGGGGAGGGCCATTCTGGGGACAGAGGGACTGATCTATATTTAGTAACACTAGAATTAGGTGAAGCTGTTACAAGCCTCCAATGGGGGTAGGGAAAGAGGTTTCCTGAGTTCATATTTTCCTTCCCCTAGCTTTGACTTTTCTTATGGTCTGTGAACAAAAATAGAAGCTGCTAAGCAGCAGTGATCTTTTGGTTCACAGCAGTTCTAGCAGAGTTGGTAGGGAAAGATGCACTATTTGGACAAAAGCTGTATTTGGGTTCCTGAGAAGCTAAGTAAGTTTTTGAGTTACTACATTTTGGTTTCATGGAACCTTGACGTGTTCTTTAAATTTCTTGATTTGAAGCAGAATATTCACAATGATGGTTAAATAGAATAGAAAAATGTATCTATGATGATGATTCTGAGTGACTTCTGAGGTCCTGATAATTTACTATCATTCAATTAAAACAAAAAATGACAAAATTAAGGGAAATTAAGTGTTCTTAGATTTGTGATATGGAGTTGGTCTAACTGGTGAGAAAGGAAAGTAAGTAGGATTTTGAAGTAGAGTTTAGAAAAATCTTGGTTGGGTCTTTGCACCATTTATAGATACTATCTATATTATCCTAGACAAAACATTTGAGTACTTTATTTCCAATTTTGGTTTTATTTTCTATTCAGGCCAAAATGTGAGATCCTAAAAAGTACCAACTAAAATGTACATGTGTACACATAGTGGTTTTTCATCTTCATTAACTTGCTGCAGTGGTTGATGCCTGTAATCTCAGCACTTTGGGAGGCTGAGATGGGAGGATAGCTTGAGGCCAGGAGTTTGAGATCAGCCTGGGTAACACAGTGAGACCCTGTCTCTACAAAAAATGATGGTTGAGCGCACCTATAGTCCTAGCTACTGGGGAGGATGAGCCAGGAGATTGGAGCTTGCAGTGAACTGTGATCATGCCACTGTCCTCTAGTCTGGATGACAGAGCTGAGACCCTGTCTCTCAAATGCAAAAAAGAAAATAGAGCATAAGATTTTTATAGGGGCATCTACCTTGATGAAAGAAAAATAACTGCAAATATTTTGAGATGAGATGTAGCCAGAGATGATTCAGTAGATGAGAGGTTGAAAATACTACAATTTTTTAATTTAACTGACCTGTGTGAGCTAAAGCCACACAGCTGAAGCAGCTTTGAAACCTTATCTCTTTTTGTTTTTTTCCCTTCTGACTCTCTCCCAGTCCCCCCCGAAGGGCGTGACCATCCCGTACCGGCCCAAGCCGTCCAGTTCTCCGGTCATCTTTGCAGGTGGTCAGGTAAGAAAATTCTTATTCGTGGGTTTAGAATGAACAAAGTTTGTATCTAAAATGTCAATTTTGCCAGCAGCACACCAAGCCACTCTGCATGTTTGCTGAAACCTATACTCTGGCGATAGTTTGACTTGCTTTTAGTTTTTATTTTTTGTACTGGAGAAAGCTATGAATGCCAAGCCCTTGTTTAATTTTTAGCAGGCAATGGAAGTTTTGTAGGCACTCTGAAGAGGTAATTTATGTTAATTTAAGATGGGTTGGGTTAGAAGAAAGTTAAATTGCCTTGGTGCCACTACTTATCTCCCTGTCCCCAACCCATCCATGGTTTTGTGTGTGTGTGGGGGGGTGATCTTTAGAGGTCTGAATAAAAGTAGCAAAGAGTTGGACCTCTGAAGGAGATTCTGGATGGTGGTCTCAAAATTGGATGGGAAGGATCCTGAACTTGAGTGTCCTACAAACTTCCCCTTCCCTCCACCTCACCTCCCCTACTCCTACCCCTTCACTCCCAAATTCCAGTGTGTTGTCCCCTAGGCTCTTAACCTCATAAACACTGGTTTGAACCCACATGGCATAACCGAATCAGGTGGGGTAAGAGTTCAGGGTGCAAGAATAGAAGTGGGAAGTGTGTTGGGCTGTGGTGCTATGACCTTTGGTGTTAGAGTAAAAACACCAAAGCACCCCCTTGGCCTGTCCTTGCTCCTTCCTCACAAACCTAAACTCTTGATCTTTGGCACATGGTTTATTCTGAAGTTAGAATTTTGTGAGGAGCATTGATTAGCATCACGGTAGTCTTATGTTTTGTTGGTTAGTCTTTGAGGAGTAAGTATGTAGGTAGGTCAGTTTTTAAAATACTGAAGTTGGCCCTTCGTGTCTGGGTTCTACGTCCATGGGTTCATCCAACCTCGGGTCGAAAATAATGCAGAACAAATAAGGATGGTTGTGTTTGTACTGGACACGTACAGACTTTTTCCCTTGTCATTATTCCCTAAACAACATAGTAAAACAACTATGTGCCTAGCACTTGGATTCTATTAGTTATTGTAGGTAAGCTAGAGATTTAAAGTATACAGGAGGATGTGTTTAGGTTATATACAAATACTACACCATTTTATAGAAAGTACTTGAGCAGCCATGGGTTTTGGTATCCATGGTGTGGTAGCAGGGGTCCTAGAACCAATCAGTCCCTCACGGATTCCTAGGGACAACTAGGGATGACTGTATTGAGACTCATATTGGAATAGTGACTTTGATTTTGGTAGCAAGTATGTTTATTCAACTAGTTACTTCTTATTCGTATTTGATCTGGGAGCCATTTAGAGGAGAAGCATAATCTTGGAGTACATCTCATTCACATTCTTTTGAATTGGAATAAAACTGAACTAGTTTTAGAGGCTTAGTTTGGCATGTAGTTTTAGAAGCTTACACAGCAAGTTAATCATGTTACAGTGTTACTTTGAGATGGTTTAGTGCCTTGCTTTTAGCATTAGTGCCTTTTAGCATTAGCCTTGTACAAACTGGTTTGGGCAAGGGAATCTCAGTCAGTATGGATAGTCAGGCAAGATAAGCAAAGTCCCAGAGTCATTGTAGCCAGGAAGGGTTAGCCTTAGGAGTTTCCCCTTCTCCCCAGGAACTCCAGGTTCCTGCTCTTCTGGATTCTTGCACTCCCATTTGGTATTACAGAGTCCCATGCTGGGTGGCAGCAATCCTCTCTACTTAACATTCTTCCTTTACTTCCTTTTTTTCCCCCTCTCTGTCCCTCCCATTCATACCTCTTTGCTTCCCTACCCTCCCTCCCTCTTTATTCACTTGACCACCCTCTGAAAGCTTAGAGCTTCTTCCATGAGTGGCCCTGTTGTGGATCATTCCAGTGGGCCTTTTTAAATGGACTAGTTCATACGATGTCCACAGATGGACCTGAGTCTTTTGTTCTTTGTGGCAAAGTGGGCTCTGTAGGGGTTCAACTTAATCCTACACTGACCAGGAGCTGACATTAGCTCTGTTGCCCCACCCCTTCACTCTTACTGAATATAGCCCAATCGCTCAGTGTGAAATCTGCCACTAGGTAACTTTTTTTTTTAATTCACTGATTGCAGCTCGTTTCAAATTGTGTCGTGAGCTCCTTTTTAAAGGAAAAAGGAAAAAATAAACAACCTTTTTTTTGTGTGAATTTCATGCTGGTGACAAGGTGCCGGATTGACAGCCCTGGAGACTGAAATCCTCTATTTATCCACAGGACAGGTACAGCACAGGCAGCGACAGTGCGAGCTTTCCCCACACCACCCCGTCCATGTGCCTCAACCCTGACCTGGAGGGACCACCTCTAGAGGTGAGAGGGGATGTTCAGTCTCCAAGGCTCACTCAATCCTTCCGCCTCAGCCGAGACTGCCAACACGCGGGGGGCCAGTGGCGCTGGTGATTTTTGTGCTGTGGACACCACCTGTCCACGGGGACCTGGACTGACCCCCCCCACCTCATTTCACACAGGCCGCGTAGCCCACCAGATGGTAACACCAACTTTTTTTTTTTTTTTTTTTTAATTTTTTTTGTTCAACCCCCTCTTCCCCCTGTCCCACTCCTCCCACCCCATTTTCACCTTCCTCCCACCCCTACCTGGGTGCACTTTTGGGGGTACTGGCCACTGTGATGTGAGGAGCTTCACATCCTGTTAACCAGCCACTCCTTCCTCCCCCTCCCTTCGTGTTCCCTTTTCCTTTCCTCCTTGTTCCCCACCCCATTGCCCTAAAGACCCAACTCCCTTTTCGGGAGGTTATGGTGTGGGGGGGGAGGGCATAGTGGGAGCTGCAAGTGCCTTTTATGGAGGGGAGGAGGGAGAAGGTAGAACTGTAGAACACAGTGGTTTTTTTTGTGTGTGTGTTCCTGTGGTCAGCTCCCTAGTGTTAGGGATCCAGCTAGCTTCCAGTGTACTTAAGGTCTATAGGCAGATACAGAGAAAAATAAGATAGGGAAAGAGAAGTGTTTCAAAACATGCCATGTAGGTTTGTGCAGATGCAGATCTTTCACATCACCATGATTGGTAGAAGGGTTGGGGTGGTGAGGGAAGAGACCATTATTTCTCCTAGGCTATTTTATATACAAGGAGGAAGAGTGGGGCTTGGTCAGTCGAGGCATTGCTTAATCTCACTTCCCACATTTTCATTAAGATATGTATATTTTGCCTTTGATTGTAGGGAATTTGGCTACCTTTATAGGATCCCCATAATAAAGTCATATTTAGGGTTCAAAGAAGGCCAATTTGGGTCTGACTGTATTTGTGAGATTCCATCTACTGCCTCAATCCCTGGCCTCCCCCTTCTCTAGTTCAACTCTGGCTTCCTGGCTAGTTGAAATCTGTCATTCCCCCCCCCTCCCCACTGGGTGGCTGTCCGTGATTGGTTTTTAATAGGAACTGTTTTCCTCCTTTTGTAGGCCTATACCATTCAAGGACAGTATGCCATTCCACAGCCAGATGTAAGTTTTGTTTTCACTTCTTGTTTTGAAAAGTTCCCTTTCCCGTCCAAAATTGTCTTACTCCTTTCTCCAAAGTAGCCAGAAGTGAGTTGGGTCTTAAACATTTGGAATATTATTTTCCTCAGAAGGTGAACCCCACATTTCATGCCTTAAAAAATTAATCTTTAATCAGAGAATAGTAGTGCCTTGTTTGCCTTTTGACATTTAAATTATGATTCAGATTATTAGCTTCTCCTTTTCCCCATGTTTCAGATTACTCTGTCTGGAAGAGAAATGTTCCATGGTATATTGTCATGTTATCTCAGGGCACAGTTTAAATTGAAAGTGGGCTGTACTTCCCTGCATGGAGTTCTCCTTTTCATGGGGGGTGTGGGGGGATTGGGTTTGCCTTTGGGTACTCCTCTATCTGGGGTGACCATTTTTAAAGTATTTGGTGGGAAGGAAAGGGGCTTACTTGCATAGGGAGGGATAGGAAGCTGAAAATTTAGACTTCAACTCAAGAAACCTTTCTTGCCAATAAAAGCTCCTATTTTAAAATGCCGGTGTTTAGACTTTGTTTAAGGGCATTTCTTCACTTTCCTTTATCCTTACTAACCTTTTCAGGTGCTGAACATTAGATTTAGGAAGTTGAGTTTGGTTCTTGGTTAGTGGCAGGAACCAGGAGAGGGGAAATTAGACCTGAAGGAGGATTATTTTACAACAGCCAGGACATTTTATATAGATGGAGAAAAATAGCTTAGAAGTCAGTGGTGATGGTGATACTAAACCCAATTTGGTTTCTTCTTAACCTCTCTCCTCCTTGCGGTTTCCCTGTCCCCCCCCCCCATCTCCTTCCCTCTTCCCAATACTGATGAAATCCTGCATGGTGTGTTTTCCCTAGCACCACTGCACAGTTTGTTTACCTATCCTGTCTGTGCTTGTCCCTGGGGCAACTGTTGCAATGGCTGCAAACACCTTCATTAAATAGCCCACAAAGGGATGGTTGTTGGGCAAGTGCTATTGCTTATTGTTTCACACACCCAAAATGCATTTATTCTCTTATACTGACACTCCGTTTCTAACTCTTACTGTTCATAATCTGCCCATCCCTAAGATTGTGATGTAAGCCCCATCACTACCTTCCGTTGTAGGTTGAGTAGTAGAGTCAATTTTGGGGATCAGGAGCTCTACATTTTCAAATTTGAATGTGTTTGAGCCCTGACTTTTAACTCTTCTAATGCCAACCTTTCCCGTTTCCTCCTTGCAGTTGACCAAGCTGCACCAGTTGGCAATGCAACAGTCTCATTTTCCCATGACGCATGGCAACACCGGATTCAGTGGTATGGATGCCTCAGTGTTTATTTTTGTAAGGTGTAGTGCAAGACAGAGGCCAATCCCAAGGTCTCTCAGCTTGACATCTGTTTAAAACAAACTTGGTTACCCAGCATCCTGCTGGTTTAAACTTGCCTGTCTACTATGGCTAAGCCCAAGGAGGTAATGTGTTTGTTAACGTGGTTTTCATTTGGGGTCAGTTATTCTAAAAGTAGAAAAAAGTCCCTGGAAGGTTTGGGGGTGAGGTCTGGGGATGCTTGTCAGGCAAAGGGTAGGCTGGTATTTCTTTGAACCATCCTGACTGCTGCCCCCTTAATCTGATCAGCATCCCCTTTCTCTCCACCAGCTATTCACAGGCTTGGGTAGAGACCATCCATTTGTGCCAAATTGTGTAGTGTTTTTTTGTTTTTGTTTTTGTTTTGTTTTGTTTTTTTGGGCTTTTCTGTATAAGGAATAACTTGTCCGATAGGGTTAGGATGAGACCACCAAACTCATTTTCACTTGTATCTTAACAGGCATTGAATCCAGCTCTCCAGAGGTGAAAGGCTATTGGGGTAATGATTAAAAAAAAAAATCTGTAGTATTCTACTGTTATATTAATAAACTGGTGGGAGTCTTGTTTCACTGCCCATGAACCATACCAGCAACATTCACATGGCAGAGAGGAGCTGAGAGAGCAAAGGGGTGGGCCTGGTGCCCCCATGGGTCCCTTGATGGATCTGGCCAACCCCCTTCTAAAAATGTTGAGACCAGCAGCCACAGCTGAGAGCAGGATTAGGCTTGAGGGATAGCAAGCTGGACTGGTTAAATCCAGGTGTTGTTATAGATGGATATGGGTATTTGCTCATGAGGTTTTTTTTCTTTTTCTTTGGAAAACAAAAGACAGAACAAATTATTAAGCAGAAGACAGGGAGTAAATCTGGAGAAATGAACTCCCCTCACCTGATTGCCATTTCATTCTATCTGACCTTCAAGTTTAGGAGGATAGGGGTGGAGGGTGTTAATCCGATACCGGTATATTTAAAGCAACTGCATGTGTGCCAAAAGTCCATGGTACCCATTAACAGGCATGTTATTGGCACTGGTGCCTAGTGAGCATCAGGTGAGATAAAATTGGAATACAACAGCAGGAAATCCTAAGCAGAAAAGGGGTAGAAGTACAGAGGGACTTGTTTAGATTTTGGTCCTGTTTGAGGATACCACACTCCCTTGCCCCTTGCTTTCATCCCCCTATATCCCTAAGAGGCTGGGCTTTGCAGGAAATGGCATGAAATCAGCTCTTCTGAGTGTACAGAAGAACCTTTCCAGCATTGTTTCTGCACCCTTCTCCCCGTCTTTCCTCTTTGGAGGCTTCCAAGTTAGTGATGAATCCCAACAGCCAATGCTGGGTTTCCAGTTTATTTCTTTCTGTTAGTTTAATGTACAGCAGTGGGGTTTTAAATGCTGTGCATTGAACTTTCTTGCTTTCTTCTGTCTTTTAGCAGGTTTGGATGCATCTGCTCAGACTACTTCTCATGAACTCACCATTCCAAACGATGTAAGTATGGTTAGTTGGGTTTGCATGTAATGAAAATAAGAGAATTGGTTTTAAATAAATGGAAGTCTTGTAGAATCAGAAAGCTTAGCCTTTAAAGCATAGGGTGCAGTGGTTCTTGATTGTTAAATCTTTTCTAAGATGATGGTCACTGACCACATGTGGCTGTTGGCATTGAGAATAATAAAAATAATAAATTTAGCTCCTCAGTCTCACTTGCCACAGTACAGGTATTCAATAACCACATGTTGCTTTTTATAATATTAGCCAGTGCAAATGTAGACCTATATTTAACATTTTCCCAAGGCAAAAGCATTAGAAATTGGTCAAAATTCTTGTCAGTGTAGTATGGTAGTAATCATGGCAAGATGAGTTTAAGCATCTCTGCTTCCAGAGACAATGTACCTTTACCTGTATCTCTATTCCTAGCCATCTAACTAGGTTTCTTACCAGCTTGGCTCTAGTTTATTTTGTCTTTGGAGTTAATAAATATTCTGAGGACAGAAATAATGGAGAGCTAATGCTTGGACCTGGGTCATAGATGGCTCTGACCTACATCAGTCAGACAGAAGAATGGGTCAAGAAGTTGCAGAAGCTAGAGGGATGGGACGGAATTCTTGTATCTAGTGATGCAACTCTAATTAATTTGGTGTGCCTTGTTTTTCCTCCTTTAAGTTGATTGGCTGCATAATCGGGCGTCAAGGCGCCAAAATCAATGAGATCCGTCAGATGTCTGGGGCGCAGATCAAAATTGCGAACCCAGTGGAAGGATCTACTGATAGGCAGGTTACCATCACTGGATCTGCTGCCAGCATTAGCCTGGCTCAATATCTAATCAATGTCAGGTAAGGTTTCACTACCTTTTGCCTTATTAATGCCCATATAGTAATGTGTATGTTGGGAAAAGCTGCAGTATGTTATTAAATATGAGATTATTTGGGGGGTGGGTAAAAATGGTCAAAGAAAGTCTAGCCCTGATTTTCTCCATCTTTAGAAGAAAAAGAGATCGCAGTAAGTTTTCATAGGACATGCATATAGATAGCTTGCGTTTGACTTTTGGTGGTTTGGGTAGTGGGGAGGATGATACATGTCTTCAGTAGTACTACAGTCTTGCTAGAGCACCCCTATGAACAGACAAATCCAAATATGCATCTCTCTTGTTCTACATGTCATATAGACCATTATTCTTACATTGATTTGGGGTCCCAAAGCACCTTTAATAATTAGGAGTAATGGAGTAATGTGATAGGGAAGTTTCTTGGAGGCAGCCATTCTGAAAATACCCATTTTTCCCAAATTGCAAATGTGTTCCATTGTTGAGAGCTTGTGGGAAAGGGGGAAATACAGGTATTGGAATGTTTCAGAAATGCTAAGTGTACTTTATAACCCACGCCCACCCCAGTCTCATTTCTTAATGACTTCCTAAGGTTTTATGTCCCTTGTCCATACCTAGCTAATGTTACATTGTCAATTGTAGAACAGTGTTCAAGGTCAAATAGGCATCCTGCAGAGCATTTATATTTCTTGCTAAGCTCATGGGCTTATTAAGTCACACCCTTAATTACTTACTAACATTTTAAATCAGTGTTAGTAGCCAATTTCCCAAGGGACTTAGTGTTACCTCTTTTATGGAGAGTATTGTCTACTTAATGTCGAAAAGACATTCTAGATCTTCTTTCTTGTTCAGCAACCAAGCACATCAAATCCTTAATGTTCAGAATGAAATGGTAGTAAGCTTTTGCTCAGAGGCTGTTTGTAAGGATTTGTTTTCTTGTTTGTAATTGGTATATTGGAGGGGAGTTTTAAGTGGCAAGAATCACGTTCTTGAAAGCTGGAAATCGTTTTCTTCTGCTTTGTGTAGGCTTGTCCTGAATATTGTCAGAGTGTTTAATATTGTCACTGTTTAAATGTGACCTGCTTGCCTGGCCCCTGCAATAGGTCACTGACTATGCTGTAAGGAAGCAGAACTCTGCTTAAAGTCACTGTTTTCAGGATCATTCTTACTGAATGTCTTAGCTGTTCAGGATCATCCTATTTTTAAGAAACCAAGACATGGATCAGAAAAACCTTGAAGCTTCATTTAACACCAAAGGAAGGACTGTGCACACCCAAAGCTTACTCTTCACTTCCTCATCTTGGTCCAGTTTGAATGCAGAAATCAAACTGGTTTTTTGGTTTGTTTTTTTAATGCTAGGCAAGAAGGGTTTCTCTGCTTTCATTAATAGATTCTGAGCATTTTTGCTGTCTCTTGAGTTTTCATGATGGCAGTCTGCTCCTTTGTAGTTAGTTGACATCTTATCCCCCTCCTTTATAAATTGCACCTGTCCCTGGACATAGGTAAACAAAAATGGGGACTTAAGAGAATTCTTCCTGCCCTCCAAGATTTAGCCTTCTGGGGTCGATTATTGAGACAAACTTCAGCAAACATCTGTAGTTCTGATACAGGCACATAGAGGTTTTAGGAGATACAGATCCTTGCTGTTACTTGGAGTTTATTTTAGGAGTAGAAGCAACATTATTTTTGCTTTTTAAATGTAAATATATAGGTAGTACTTGAGTTTCTCTCTTCCAATTCCAAAAGATCCATGTGAAGTATGGTCAGTAAAAACAAAGCATTTTATATTACCTCCCACCAGAAAAGCTTCCCTAGTTCTTACCTACATTTTTGTTCTCAGCAATTTTCATTGAAAATGCTGCATTCTTTGAAATTTGAATTAATGATCTACTCTGGACTTTTGTCCCTTTCCATCCTAACATTGGTTCCTTTGCTGTGGAGACGTAAAAAATTAGCCAGGTGTGGTGGGTAGGTACAAGCTACTTAGGAGGCTGAAGCAGGGCTTCTTGAGCCCAGAAGTTTGAGGTTGCAGTGGGCTCTGATGACAGCATTGGACTCTAATCCAGGCAACAGAATGAAACTGAGTCTCAAACAAAACAAAACAAAAAAATCCCTACAGATTAACTTAAAAGCTTCACAAGTAATTACTGCGTAATTAATTTTCTATTAGAATGGGAAATTGACATTGGGATTGGAGGAAACATTTCTTCCTTGTTTAGAGATTGCTAAATACTCTGATTTTCTACCCGAAATCATTCCTTTGACATCTGGGTTGGGTCAGTGTCAGATACATGGAAATATGTGCTCTCTGATTTCTCAGTCTGTCAGCTTTTTCTTCACCATAGCAGTTTTAAATAGCATGTGCAATGGAAAGGTGGCAAAGTATATACGTATTTAGAGGGTGGGACACAGGTTAAAAGAGACAGTTTGTCAGAAGTTGATATTAGTTCTTCCTAATTGGCAATCAGAGACACTGATAAAACTGAAGCGGTTTTTGTCCTGTACTTTTTCCCTTTTGTGGTCTTCCCGTCCACCCACCCTTTTTTTTGTTCCTTTTTTCCTCTGTTACAGTTTAGAAAACGCTAAACCCTCCTCCCAGGCAGCCTCCGTCACGATCCCTGATCACCTCAGCATCAACCTCTCTCAACCCTCCACCCCTTCTTCTTCTTCTTCCTCCTCCACCACCACCCCCTCGCTCGCCACAGCGGGGACCTCCGACGCACCCTCCAGCCTCCCCAACCCTCTTCCGACCGCCCCTTGTGTCTCCAGTCTGCTTGGCATGAAACCCATCCCTCTCCTGGCTCTAAATGTTGTGTCTGCTGCTAAGGGTACCGGGGCTTCAGCTACCACCACCACCAACTCTGCTGTGCCATGTGTAACTAACAAACTGAAAGGCGAGAAACAGAGATTCTCACCCTACTGATTGCATATCTTGAGGCACTTCCTCAAGTGTTTTTGGTTCATTTTGTTTTCCTTTGTTAACATTGGTGAGAACCAAACTATTGTGAGCTTGTGAACGTTTCCTTTTTACTACTTGGGATAACTGGGTGGGGGTGGGGGCTGGTAACTCTTGTTTAGGTTTAGGCCATTTCATCTGAGTGCCTGTTTCAGAGTCTGACTTGTTGAATTCTTTATCTAGAGCCGTAGTTCTTGCTCTTCTTTCTTGTTGTTACCTTTTTTTTGTAGCTTTATTCTGCCTTGCAATATAATAATGTGTTAGGCTCTGTGTTAATGAATAAAAGCTTGTCCGTAACCCTTTTTTAATTAATTATTTAATGGTTAAGCTATATCAGCAGGCTTTCTTGGCCAGATTTGTGTTTGTAGCTGTAATAAAGTTGCCACAGTAAGAAACTTAGTTCACCGTGTGCTGTGAAGGGTAAAGGGGTGGGAGCTTGTGACTTGTGGCTACTGTAACTCAATTAGGAAGCCTGTACAACTGACTTGAGCCTTTTTGTATCCCAGTTTAATTTTATAATCCTTCGTCATTATTCCCACAAAGAGATATGGGCCTGTGACAGTTTAGATCCTGGGGGTCCTCCGTAATTAGCAGAAAGCTTCATTAGTGAAGAGTCGTTTATCTGACTTATCAATTCCCTTACCCTATCAACAGCAGTAGGTAACAAGGGTGTCCATCTGGTGAATGGTTACTGTGAAGATCTCTTCCAGGGTAAACATACAGAGAATGTATCTCTTTACCCCGAATTGGGACAGGGTGGGAGAGTGGGATAAATATGATAAAATTAGACAGCTTCTGTCTGCATTGCTCAAAGGTAGCATTACCCGGGTTTTTTCTGTGACTTCAGGTTGTTCTTAAAGAACCAACCTGTGACATTGCCCAGAACTTTAGAGGATGCTATCCAGTGATCCTAGGCCAGTTCATATTAATCAACCAAGATTCTTTACTTTTTTTTATATTCTCTGCCCTCTCTTCACCAACACTGTTGTTATGAGTAGGAAATTATATGCTTAGATTTGGAAGGAACCTAATGGATCGATTAAAGTATAACTCATTGATCCTCTCATTTAACGGATAAAAAATGAAAGCCCTAAAAAAAATTCATAGATCATCTTAGTGACTAGCCAGGGCTAACAACTTGTGCTTTACTTTTGCTCAATTGTACTAATCTCCCTGAAGCCCTATTCATTTTCTTATCTCCAAATGGGAACAGGCCTCGTTCATTTAAGAGTATAAATGCTCTAAGTATGTATAATGGCAGGAGTCCTGATATTCTTCCAATTAACCAGAGTACACATTGCCACAGTGCTGAAAATACAATGCTCTCCCTGGGATATTGGAGAACTCATTGTAGAAATTTTTCTCTGATTATCTTTCCCCACATCCCATGGGAGATTGTTTTAAGAAAACAGTTCTTAAAAAAAAAAGTTCATGAGTATTTCAGTATATTATCTCATTCTCTGATGTTATTGTGGCCCTTCAAAGCCAGATTGGGCCTGTGAATTACTGTTATGTGCCCCTAGTCTGCATGAAGTCTCCTTTGTTGTCCAGGTAGGAGTTTTCTTACTAGTTGCTCCTTTATCAGGTGGTTCAACTCTCACTTGGTAAGCTCCTTCTGTAGGACTTAATCATGTTGCTACCATCTGCTCCCAGGGACCTGGTTTTATTATATCTGGTATCTTGATTTGAAGGCCTCTTAACCTAATCAGTATTCCCTAAGGAAGGATTCCTGGGAAGAAATCCAGATGTTTAAGGGGCTAACTATCACTACCTTAAAAGTTACATGCTGTTAAGTTTTTTAAAAGGTTAATTAGAGCTCCCCCATGTGGTCCTTTTGTCCTAGAGTCTGTGACACATTATTTCTGGTTGGGTTTTCCCTTCTTAGCTCACTCTCCATACCCCATCCCCATAAATCCCCACTCAGACTTGGTATAAGTTCTGGAAAATTCTTTTTAAACTCTTTTGTGGGGCCAGACTGCAACCATTTCCTTGCATGAACTAAGTCTTAGCTCTAAACTGTATCCAGCGGTTCTTTTCTTTAACTTTGATTTCCCACTTAACTCTTTCAATCAGAGCCTATAGTTTCCCTAGATCATCCTATTTTGAGGTTGGCAAGAATCCATCCCTTTTAAGAACTAACTATTCTTCATGCTGGGGTGGAGAAACCATTTCTGACTTACAAGTAAATACATTGCAGTTGAATGACTCTTCAATTTTCTGGCCCTTGGTTTTTCCCCTTCTGACCAGCTTATGGCTTTGAATTATTGCGGAAGGTTTGAGTCTTACACATTTGGTTCTATTCAAAATGGGAGCTCGGTTTTTCTAGCTACCTAGTATTAGTATTAGTGAAGCATGCTGAATGCCTAAATACCTTGCCTTCAAATGACCTATTTGAATTAAAGGCATTACGGCCATGTTTGGATGAAGGATTTGGCTTGATGGGAAGACCAGATTTAGGAGCTTCTAGAGTAAGCTAGGGGGTTGAAACAAATTTTGTCTGCCACTTTTAAGTCCTGGAAACTAGGCCTTAAAACAATTTTAAATAATTCCTGACCCATATAGTTATTCAACAGGGTCTTTACATCTCTCTTTAACATCTCCAGCCTTTAAAACTGTATTACTCTTAATAGTAATAGCATATACATTGACAGAGAAACCCAAGGCTGTTCCAGAGTAAAGGCTTTGGATTGCCTCAGCATTAACCTCATGAGGTTATTTTCAGATAAGTATTTTTTCCCTACCTCTGGTATTCTGTCAGCAGTTTGGGAGGAATTAAAATAAGCTCAGCAGTAAAGAAACATTGCTTCTGTATGTGGTGACCCTTTAAGGTGACTCCTTAAAAAGGAGGCTTTTGTGAGTGGCATTTTTCAGTAAGTGTTTAACATCTCTTACTATGGAGATGGAAATACTTTCCAAAGAACATAATGTGACAAAAAATTGGTAACCAAGTTACTCAGTTACCCTAAGCTCTGAGGTCATTTGTCTCAGGAAGCTTGGATTTGTAGGGGTTAAAGGATCAGGTTTGTGGTACGGGTTAATTCAAGAAACCTTAAAATATCTCCCTGTATACCAAAGCACTGATTATGTACTACTCACATTTCACAAACCAGGCTGAACGATTAGAGGTGAGGTGTAGCTGGGCCCTGGAAATACTAACTTTGAGTTCTTGTTTGTTTCTGTGTTACAGGCTTTCCTCGGAGACGGGTGGCATGGGGAGCAGCTAGAACAATGCAGATTCATCCATTATCCCTTTCTGCTGTTCACCACCACCCATGATCCATCTGTGTAGTTTCTGAACAGTCAGCGATTCCAGGTTTTAAATAGTTTGTAAATTTTCAGTTTCTACACACTTTATCATCCACTCGTGATTTTTTAATTAAAGCGTTTTAATTCCTTTCTCTGTTCAGCTGTTAAATGCTGAGATCCATATTTAGTTTTATAAGCTTTTCCCTGTTTTTTTTTTTTTTTTTTTTTGGCTCATGAATTTTCTGTTTGTCATGGAAATGTAAGAGTGGAGTATTAATACATTTCAGTTTAGTTCTGTAATGTCAGGAATTTTTCAAAAAAATTAAAAGATGGACTGGAGCTTTTTCTTTGTGAATAGAAACTGGATGCCACAGTGATTCATGTGGGTTTTATTCCTCTTGTCTTGCTGTTATTTTTGTACCTTTTATCTCTCAAAGGACCCTACTTGGGTTCTGAATAGAAGCCTTTATTCCAGTTAAGATGTTTTCTTCTGTTTTGCCACGTTCATCTTTTTTGTGGCCCTTGATCCTGTTTTCCTTGACCCCATGCTTTGTTGGTCCTTGTAAAACTGCCCAGAAGATTGGGGATTGGATTTATCTGAAGAGTAGGAAAATCACTTCCATCAGGGGTGAAGGGGAAGACACACGTGAATACACATGGAAGCAGTTGGTCATGTATCTGACTGGGTTTCAGCTTCTTGGGAATGTTCATTCCCTTGTTCAGGCTTCCATATTTTAAACTAAAAATGTCATTCTCTTATTTTAAATAATTGTTCATTTATAGTTCTATCCCTAATGACTGAAAGGGCTTCCACCCTTGTAGTGAAATCATTTAGAAAGATGCACCTGCTACTATTTATGTCAGTAATTTCAGAAAGCTGGAGGTTGACATGATGTTCATTTAGTGAGTGTAAAGGGGGTAGTAACTTGTCCAGACACCTCAGATCGAGTCTGGAGCCCAAGGATTTGTCTTAACCATATATGCTACCCCATTCATTCATCAAGAAAACCCTCAACAGCTGGGCCTGCATGGAGTGGTTATATTTCAAGGTTTTTCACAGGGTTTACAATATGACAGTCCCCACCCCAATCAGGCACCAGGATAAAAGTAGGGACTTACACAGCACCCCAGTTCTTCAGCCTGAGCCATCACATGCTATCAGTCTCCTAACCTCCCCCCCGCCCCCGGAGCCCTAAGCCAGGGCTTTGGCAGAGAAATGGAGGGACAAAACAATGAATTACATTGCCACCTGAGAAACCTCAGAGGGGAGGACTCAGCCTTAGTCTCCCTCCTCCCAAGTGCAAAATGTGTAAACAGAAAAGTGCAGTCTAAATGGTTCCCTCTCCTGCCCCCCCACCCCCCAGCATTTGGGGTTAGAGTACAGAGACAAGCGTGGCTTTTCTATTGCCTAATTGCTTGCTGAACATAAGGAATGGGGTGAAGCAGGAAGGGGCCAGTTTCTCCTTATGCACAGCTCTAGGGCAGTGTTTACCATTCATTTCCACAGCTGCCAGTGTCCCTAGAGTCTTGGTCCAGGGGATCAGTCTCCCTCGAGCCTGACCTAAGGCTGGGACAGCCCCATCTTTCTCTGTTGATTATGTGGCGCATATATATTATTTATATAAATATTTCTCTATGTACAGGGAATAAGAGTGGCTTTCATGGAGGGAGGGAGGCTGGGGGCCGCAAGGCATCAACGCTGTTGGAGTTGTCCAATTCAGTGCTGTCACAGTCTGAGTCCTCAGTATTGGGAGGGCCCTGTGAGGAAGAGTAGAAATGCAATGAGATTCCTTCAGGGTCCCTCACTGCGGTCATTTTTAATGGCCAGTGGCTTACTGATTTTATTGCTTCCATGTTTCAATTGTCTAGGCTGTTCTCTAGGGCACTGGACTCCTACTTAAGGGTTCCTCCTTAGCTACAATTCATAGCTGCCATGCAAGCTATAGTCAGGCACCATACTATAGGCTTCTGAAATTCTACCACATAGATACTCATTCTTTTTGGTATGGGAGGAAGCTGGCTCGGAAATCTAGTGACTTGAAGGCTAACGCTTTGTGGCCTGTGCATCTGTCTCCCCAAATGCTGTCAGATGACCAGGCATCTGCTTCCATTTAGCTCTCCCTGCATAATACTTGGTTGTTTCTGTTCTGTAA